TCTTCTCACTTTGTTCTTCCAACTTTGTTCCCCACCCTTGGCTCTTGATGCATCCGGGGAAGGCACATCCTGAGCGAGACTGCCATGAGGTATCTCTCAATCCACCAAGGTCCCCCTCCCCTTTCTCCTTCCCCCTCTATTTGCCCAGGCTCCAGCACCTGCTCATCCACCACCATTTGCTCCGTCCCTCTCCTACATCACCATTCTGTCTCGTCCCAACATTCTCCGACAAGGCTCTGTCGCAGCCATGACTACACCATCACCCAACCAGGACTGGCGTGATCCAGTCTCTTCGAGTTCCAATCTCATGCAATCAAAATCAATCATCATTTACCGCGACAGCACAGCTGCCACGCTACCTGGTCTACTTTGAACCCCCTTAGCCGCCCCCCCCCTCCAAAAAGACCCATCAAAGAAACAACTCCAAGCTCCGATCCCGGCCGGGCCACAGAGGTCCCTCCCAAAATACGATATCATTGCATATCACCATGTACGAGTTGTTTTGCTCAAGCCTCCAGAGCGAGCGCGATGGGCATAGCCCTCGCGTGAACGGATAGATCACGCTTGGCCCTGCCTCCATTGTTCGTCGCCGTGCCGTTGGTCGCGCCAGCACCGCGGCCAGCGCCAGCTCCAGCTCCAGCTCCGGCACCCGCGCCGGCACCCGCATTGGGCCTGGGCTCGAGGATGGGAGTGGGAGCACCGGGGGGCGTGGCGGCGTTTCCAGCATTGCCTGCGTTGCCACGGCCAGTTCCGGCACCCGCGCCGTTGCCGTTGCCATTGCCAGTGCCGTTGCCAGTGCCATTGCCAGTGCCGTTGCCAGTGCCGTTGCCAGCGCCGTTGCCGTTACCGGGGGCGGGAACGGGAGCCGGCGCGGGGCAGGCAGGAGATACGGGCTGGGCAGGCTGGGCAGGACGAGCGGGAGGCTGGGCAGGACGAGCGGGAGGCTGGGCAGGTTGAGCAGGAGGTTGAGCTGGCTGAGCAGGACGAGCGGGAGGCTGGGCAGGCTGAGCGGGCTGGGCAGGTTGAGCGGGCTGGGCAGGGCGGGCCGGAGCCTGAGAAGGACGAGCCGAGGGTTGAGCTGGCTGCGAAGGACGGGCCGGAGTAGCACCACCGCCGGCGCCTCCTCCTGCGGCAGGCGGCGCCGACAACGCCGTGATGCCCTGCTGGATGGCATCGCTGATCTGCTGTGTGCTCTGCTGGGCGATGCCCTGGCCAATGGCGGGCACCTTGGACACGATGGCGTCACTGAGGGCCTTGCTCGAGGCCTGCTGGTCCTTGAGCGTCTGCACAGCAATAGAGGTCACACCGAGCTGATCAAGGTCTGCCTTCTTGCTCGTCAGAGCCGTGGTCACACCCTGAACGGATGTTACGAGGCCCGATGCCGTGTCTTGCAGTCCAAGAGCCTCCATGAGGCTGAGAGCTTGGGCACCTTGCACCTGCGTCGTCGCCGTTCCGATGGCCGTCTTGACCTTCTCTGACGCCGTCAGGATGGGCGCCGCCGAGTTGGCGTCAGCTCCAGAAAGACCCTGCACTGTGTCAGGTCATGGATTTCCATACTTGTTACGCTGCGCTTTCTTACCTGAACGGCCGTGGTGAGATCATCCAGTGCCGATTGCACCGTGGTGATGGCACCCTGGATCGTCTGCAGCTGGCGCCTGTGCATCGAAGGGGCGGCAATGGCGCCGCCGGCCAGCAGCGTCTTAACGAGGAGGGCGCTGAAATGCATCTTGATAAATGTGCTGATTGTTGGTGGGAGGACGAAGAAGCCAAAATCAAGTGATACTCTCAAGCCAGCTCAAGATGATCCGCAAAAGAAGAGAAAGTTGCTGTGGTAAACAAAACTCGAAACTAGTATGAACCTCCACGTTGATAAACTAGCTTGTATGGAAGGGGACGAGAATCATGTTCCTCCAAGGACACATGCTCCTCTTTATGTTATTCGTTGCAAGCAATATTCCGCGAATCGTCCATTCTTTTGCCTCAAAGCCCGGAGTTCCAGCTTGGAGCCCCAGCGCGTCGAAGCTTTCCATGCCTGCGACAAGCAGCCCGTAGCACCCAAAACAGACCCGACAGACAGCATGTCGAAGAGGATGCAGAGATTGCGACCGAGCGTCGCCTTCAGTTGGGGGCACTGCCTCTGCGATGGCTGGCAACTCAGCTTTTTTCACCATCTTCATGCTTGACATGTTCAGATGAAACGAAACGCACGGCACCACCAAGGCCACCATGGCCAAGGCACCCACCCCGCCCCGGCCGGATCTCCTTCGCACCACCCTCGACGCATCGACCTACTGCTTCGGGTAACCGATGGCCCGCAGAGCCTCGTTTGTCGCGATTCGCTTCTTGACCTTTCTCTTTACCCCCTTTTGATCTATTTTCGGGTCGCCCAGCTTCCGTTCAATTGTCGTCCTGCTTGTGGCGTGAGGTTGCACCCACCAATGGATATGGTGTGACCATGTCAGACGGCAGCTTGGCGGAGTCCTCCCCAGACAAGGCTCTAGCCACATTGCAGTGTATGTGCTGCTTTTCCTCGGCCAAAATGTCTTCTATTGCCCTGGTACGGTTTGAGGTCATCATGTGTTGTGGGGAGAGACATTGATAATCAGGGAATGCACTGCACGTGGGCGCTTGGTGCAAAGTTCTAGCTTTTCAAGTTGAGCAACAAGTCAGCTGCGTTTTCTCGGGGGTCAGATGAATGTTTTCCAGCAAACGGGTGCTGGATGCAGATCATGTCACATGAAATACCTTAGTCGCTCAATGACATGGTCTTAAGGTTGTTGGCTTCTCAGCTTGCCACGTCAGTGATGCTTCTGATACAACATTGGGTGCAAAACGCAACATATTCCGTCAGATTGTATAAACCAACGAGCCATCAGTCCTGTCGTCCCGTGTCATCTGCTGTAGTTATGGACACAAGGACTCAATCTCGATAGTTATGGATTTTGCTCGTTTATTTAGCATCATAGATGACGAAGGTGTTGCTGGGGATGGCTCTCACGATGGGACATCAGCTCTATCGTCTACCGAACCTCAAGTCACATATCGCGCGGTGAATTTTCAGTCAGAATACCTCGATGATCGCTTGACCAACACTAGCGTTTCGATCCAAAAAACGAGGCATCCGCGCCAGACAGGTCAAAGGAGATGCGTGCATTTCTGGTGGACAAGCTATTGGCTCCATTAGCTTCTACGTCCTGAGTTCACATCGCGCAGTCGAATCGCAGTCTCATGCTCCTAGTAACGCGACCGACGTCAGGAACAAAAAGACTCATCAATATTGTGCATCAACAACGATTCATCTCTAAGACATTGCTGGCATGGCCCATATCAATTCTCTGCGGCGTGCTTATCTGTTTTGCTGAGAGAGTCGACAGGGCGTGTTACAAAGTGTACTGGATCCAAGTCTTTCCAGGCTTCCAGTCATGGGGCGTTCTTGGTTAGGTTGACCCCGAAATGCGAATGTCCGATGAGTGGGCATTCTTAGACCAGCTCTTCCATGAATTGGCCCCGATCACCGCCCTCATGCTAGCATGACCCGATCCCTACTGTGTGAATTTCGCATGGAAAGATAAAATTACGTCGGTAGCACTAGGTTGTATAAGCGTGAACCGTCCTTACTGACGACTGACTTCGAGCGCGCAGGACGCTTTAATGTAAGTGGTCGCGCGAGATGTGCCACTATTATCCATGGTCTGCGGATAGTCATCACTCAGCGCAACCACAAAGCAACGCTCAAATTAGCAGTCGAGTCGAGTCTACAAACATTGACCGCGCTGGTTGGTAAGACACAACGTCCATGACGGCCATCACTATCATCACCATGATACTTATGCCTGGAGCATTCACAGCGGTAAGTTGGCTCTGTAGCGTAAAACGCGGAAGACCCTGGCGCCTCATAGACCCTGTACTCGACGCCGTAGTTTGAAAATGTAGCTGGAAACAGTGACCCCACCATACAGATGAAGGTCCATACGGTTTTGACTTTGTTACTCACTGCTGGCGTTATTTACGGTTGACGTGTTTGGCGCTGGGTACGGCGCAGAAGAAGGCTGCATAAGATTTCTGCTTAAATAGACAATAACTTAAAGGGAGAAGCTATCAGCGGAGACGTTGAGATTGGCTCAACTTGAGGATGTAATAAAGACTGCTGTGGATGAATTTGCCTGAAAGTCCTTGTCTGCATACAGACTAGGTTGCTCATGTTGACCTTCCACTGCATTGTATCTTCTCATTATTGCGTTAGTGAATTTATACGTCAGAAAGATACTCATGCTTCTGAGAGAGGAATGCAGCATAAGCTTGTTAATAAACCAGGTCCAGCGAAATCTTCGAGAACACGGGAGGACCCGAGCAAGACAGAATGCTGCTGGTGATCTAGTTTCAAAGATGTGAAGCGACATGTTGTCATCTAGATTGCTTATCCCTACGAGGGAAACAAAAAGGGCGATGAAGTGTAACTTTTTTCGTGAAATGCTTTCCCACGAGCGTGCCTCACTTATGGCCAGTGGTCATCCCTCCACGGCTGTCGAACTGTTGAGAACGTCCGGATCGTAGCAGACGAGTGGCATAAAGTTCAGTATTTGTACAAATCGTACACAAATCGTTGATAACAATCAGCATGTAGCTCATGTCAGCAAGCACCCGCGGAGCCACGGGACAGGGGGTTACTTTAGGGACTTGGGACTACGAAACGGCGTACATATGGACTGCGGAAGGCCAGAATTTAGATGTGTTCCTAACCCCTACCTGACAATTGGCTGCGGATCGGAAGACCTCTTCACTCCGATCACCCACATGCTCTGATACCTACTAGTGTAAGGTTTCCTTCCAGAATAATCGCCGGAGCTTGCGGTCAACTATGGCCTATGGCTGGCTAGGCATTCTCGCAGTGACCATTGCTACAGTATTGCTACTCGAAATTAAATCAGCTTTTTCCCTCAGTCTAACATTAGGTCAACTTTTGGCATCTTGACTGGCTTCAAAATGGCAGGGTAGCTGTTGGCGCTGGTAGACTCTCTCGTTCTATTGTCGCACTCAGGAGACGGCTACCCTCAGTCTTTGATTGTCACACTCATTCGCTACGTGATACTTCAGACGGCTCAAAATCTGATGTAAATCTGATGAGAAACAGCAGATCAAGCTCATGCGTGACAGACTTGTGATCTGTATACTGGTTAAGCAGGAACTTCTAGGACACGGGCTAGTGCAGTGGACGATGTGACAGCATCGGCGATTGATGGGGGAATTGGCCTGTGAGTGGCACACGACATCAAGTTGAACGCAACCGTGGCATCGTCATTACGTTAGTGAATTTCTCTCTCCCTACGTCGGGAACATAACTTGACGACCTGACTCTGGCATGATGGCCGCACGAATCTTGACCCCCAGTGGCAGTTTCGCGATGTCATGGTAGCTCGTGAGATAGCTGTCCAGTACTCAAGCGGCCTGATGAAGGCCCTACATCGACTTGAATCGGTTCATCGCGTTGCGAACCAGACTGGGACTGCCATGCTTACGGGCTGCAAATCAAAGGCCGATGGATCACCATCTGAGCCGAGCGACGGTTTTCATTTCCGACGGCCGCGCCGAGTGCAACCGCCGTCGGGCGTTTTCCGACGCCGAGACGTGCCTTACGGAGGTCGGTCGATGCAGGTCTTTGGGCGGACATTGACCGAAGAGGGTCCTGATGGTTCGAGGGCGGGGAGATCTCCTACAGAGGACCCGCCATTGTTGAGGGGAAGCATGGTGTTCCATACGGCAGCGTTGGGATCATGCCTTGATGCCCCCGACTTTCCCCGCAGACATCCATGGGCGTCATGCCGTCGTGGAAGGAAATGGATGGAGAAGTGGAGCCATTGTACACCTGCCAGCACTCTTCACTGCAAATCGATTCCTTATTTCTTGGGGTGGTGAGGAGCTATCCAGATCAATGCACATTCATTCACCTGGTTGCGCTGGGGACAAGGATATCAGGTGGTCCCCCTAGGATGGGGCGAACGACCTCGATGAGACGCACAAGCCCAAGAACGAAACCTGGGGAAGCAGCTACTGGAGGCTTTGGGTGCCAAAAATACCATTTGCTGTCCAAGCCAAAATTGTCACAGATTGTGTTTCTGCTGTGCTGCCGTACACATTTGTGAAAGTAGCCTGATCTTGGCACAAGAATCTGACGACTGTAACCTTGACCAATTGTGTTGATTTTGATTTTATTCTCGTTGCCCCCGAAGTAGATGAGGTAACTGCCGACATGCATATCGGAGACTGTCCGTCGACACGGGCAGAAGTTCCTTTCCTAGGTACCTAACTTGGGGGTGCGGTGCTACGTAGTTCTGCTAACAATCCTGATCCGGCACCTGCCCCAACCACCCACCCCCACGCAAAGTAGGTACTCAGATCTGGAAGGGGCCACCCGTCGACTGCCGCTGCCCTCGCTTACCTGTAAGGTCGACAGGGTCCCTCACCTTGCATGGTCCCTCGCTGTTGCCGTCGCGAGGCGGCTCAAACGCAGACAGAACGACCGTGGTGCACGTCGTCCCTAACGGAACAATAATGGTCACAAGGGAGCGCTTCCTAGACACAATCGAGTCACCATGTGAATCACCAATACGGGAGGCCGCCCTGTCTCTGACGAACATTGCGCAAGGTTCTTGCCTCCAGCGCCATCTCGTGCGCCGCATGCTGTGGCAAGATTCGTCATGGCACTTGAATCGGCGCTTCTCAACAGATCCCAGATCTAGGTACCTACCTCGGAAAGTAGCCAGGTAGATCCAGATGCAGAATCCTGCTCGGATTTCCAGCGCCTTCCAATGGCTGTGCCACGGCCTCGTACTTGAGCTGGAGAGGGCACGCCCCCACACGGTAGGGGTCTAGGACCGAATCCCGCGGTGGGGCCGCCTCTGGCTAGGCACTGGTCCACGACCTGGCCGTAGGTAAGGTAGGTCACATGAGGCTGCCACGGGCGCATCGTAAAACCAAAAGAGGATTACGGGAGGGATTGAATCTTCGTCGCTCGTCGCTTGTCGCTTGAGTCAGGGTTGGCTGCACAGAATGCACAGGCCCAACATACAAGGCCGTCCATGGCCAAGTGATTTCAGTCGCCAAGTGATGCCAAGTGACGTTGTCGGAGAGTGTCCGAGAGGCACCCAAAAGCTTGACTGTTGTGTGTGGTGTGCCAGCTTTGTCGTGAAACTTGATTGTTCGTGGTCATGTCATGAAGTTGTCATGTCTGTTGAGGAGGGTATGGTGTCTCAGCGTCGTCCATCGTGAGGCGGGCTTTGCAGATGATACCCGACTGACGCTGCAGGGAGAGAGATTTGAACACCGTGAATCGGCCCTGTGCTACCTACCTTAAGGTTCCTACCGAGCGGTGACCAACAAACAGGCAAGACCTGCCTGAGGACCTACCTGCAGATGAGGTAGAAGTGGCAAGCAGTGATTGAGAGTGACGTGTTTGTTGTGGGAAGCAGTCATCGTGAGTTGCTCCTGCCTTCTTGCCTCGGTGGCCGACGAGCAGAAAAATTGGCATTGGCATTGTCGGCACAACATGAAGCAGAACAAACCATGTGCGGATTCCCGAGGGCGCATCATCAACACAATTTCCTTGTCGCCCTTCGTTTCAGCACCTATTGAGCATCGCTATCCTCGCTGTCCCCTTGCGCTGCTGCTGGTCCGTGGCCTCGAGGGTTCCACGTCATGACGATGATGCCGCAGCAAGACACGGTAAGACACCCTGTTTCTGTCGTCGTTCTCCCGCTCCACCCTGTATGTGTATTCGCTTGCTTCCTCTCTCTCTCTCGCTCTCTCTCTTCAGCAGCACCCTACACATCCCAGCATCTCGCCCTGCCTATCACCGATTCCCGTCACTCCAATCCGCCTCGCTCTCCCTCCCACCCGCCAAGCGTCTAAAGCGTCAACACAGCCACTGGGCCCTCTCGCCTCCCCGCATTGTGCTGTTCAATTGGTCTCGAAGCCCGCTGGAATTCGCTCTGATTGGTCGCTCTACATCTTCAATCCTCCTTGATTGGCGCTCCTCAGCTTGGTGACGACGACTTGGCTCAACGCAGAGGGTGGAGCACCAGTCCAGTCAGCCTCCGCCAACGACGGACGATGACCGTGCCGTTCGGACGATGACCGACAGGCGAAGGCCAGTTCCTTGCTGAGTTTCTGGAGTCTCGACAAACTTGGTGCACCAGCAACACTTGGCGACGCCCTTTCCCCTCTGCTGTCCTCTCCACATCCCATGCGCCAACCAATGCTTATTCCGCGACCAAGGCGTGTGCCCAAGAGATGCGATCAGCAGCCGACAGAAAGTGGGTAGCCGGCAGGACCGCGATGATCGTCCTCAGGTACTAGGAGAGCCTCGTGCTGGGAGGCAGAGGCAGTCTGTCCCTCTGGAGCCCCAGGAACAGTAAGCAGAATGCAGCAAACACCACGCGTTGTGCAGCAAGCGACATGACGAGCTAGGCCGGGCCATCAAGGAAATGGAACGTCGCGTGCGTTGGAGGGTGCCGTCAGGATGTACAGTGGAGGAACTGGGAGGTACGTCTGGTACTTGGCGTGGAGTAACGCCATATCCGTTTGGGCGTGTGACACCTTTCCCACCCACGCATGCCCGCCCCGACCGGACGATCCCCGAGCCGCTTCTCATCGGCCGTCCGTCGTCAGTCCATGGAAGTGCGCCCGTCCATCAAGTCCTCGTGGTCTGCCATTCTCCCATTCACTCTGCCCCCCCGCAAAAGGTTTAAAGAACCCGCCCCCGATCCTCCCTCATCCGTACTTGCCTTTCCATTCCTTCACACCCTCCCAATCCCCCTTCTCTCCCCCAACCCACCCTTCTCGCAATCACACATCTCTTGCATTCATTTGCAAACCCGCTTGCTTACACCAAGGAACCAACCAGTATCCGATGGGAGAAACCGACGCCACCAGGAATGGTCACAACTACGATTCTGCGGAGCCCGCTGCCGAGCAGGGACGACCCCTCGAATGGTATAGGTGGTTTCAATGAGAAGCCCCCCATCATCACAGCAACTAGTACTGCCATTACCAGTACCACCAGCGCTACCTATCTCAAGGACTCGCACACTGTCGAGCAGCAGCAGAAGGAGCATCAGCTAGTCGAGAGATTTCAGCAGGAAAAGGGACCCGAACACCAGCACGATGCTCTTCGGCCCGTTCACTGCATCCCCATCAGCAGCCTCCGAAACACCTGGCAGACCGACCTTGACAATGGTCTTTCCAAAAGCGAGGCCGCTGCCCGCCTCGAGCGTGATGGCCCCAACGCTCTCGAGGGAGCCAAGGGCCTATCCGTTTGGGAGATTCTCATGAGACAGATCTCGAACAGTCTGACCCTCGTTCTCGTGATCGTTATGATCCTGTCCTTCGCTATCAAGGACTACATTGAAGGCGGTGTCATCACCGCTGTCATCGTGCTCAACATCGTCGTTGGTTTCGTTCAGGACTATCGCGCTGAACAGACCATTCAGTCGCTATACGCCCTGTCGGCCCCCACCTGTAAAGTCGTTCGCGACGGCAACATTGAGTCCGTCAAGGCCGAGACCCTCGTCAAGGGTGATCTCGTCATGATCTCCGTCGGTGATGTCGTGCCTGCCGATCTTCGTCTCCTCGACGGCATCAACCTGTCTTCCGACGAGGCACTGTTGACCGGCGAATCGCTTCCCACTAGTAAGCATCCCGAGGCTATTTTCCACGACGCGGACCTCCCTCTGGGTGACCGCCTCAACATGGTCTACTCAGCGACCACCATCACCCGCGGTCGCGCTCGTGGTCTTGTCGCAGCGATCGGTGCCGACACAGAGGTCGGCAAGATCGCGGCCATGCTGCGCACGACGCGCAAGAAGGTCGAGGGTGCCTCGCTCCCGGCTCGCGCCTGGTATCGTTTTAAGGACGGTGCCAAGAGCATTCTCGGCCTCGTTGGCACCCCCCTGCAGGTTAAGCTCAGCAAATTTGCTCTGCTCTTGTTCGGCCTGGCCATCCTGCTCGCCATCATCGTCTTCTCCGCCAGCAAGTTTGAGATCAGCTCGCAGGTCCTCATCTATGGTATCTGCGTCGGTGTCGCGGTTATCCCCGAGTCCCTCATCGCAGTCTTGACCATCACTATGGCTGTCGGTACCAAGGCCATGGCGAAGGGCAATGTTATCGTCCGCAAGCTGGCGTCTCTCGAAGCTGTGGGCGGCGTGACCAACATCTGTTCCGACAAGACGGGTACCCTTACCCAGGGCCGCATGATCACTCGTAAGATTTGGCTGTCCGAGGAGACGACTGCCGTCATTGAGGACTGCACCGATCCCTACGACCCTGCCAGCGGTAGAATCAAGTGGCCCGGCCTGACCAGCTCTGCCTCGAGTTCTGCCTCGACTCCCACCGTTGGAAACAGCGATGACACGATCCAGGCCTCCACGATGGGCGCTTTCCTCAAGGCCATCTCCCTCTGCAACAACTCTGTCGTCACCGACGGCAAGGCTACCGGCACCGACACCGAGTCGATGACCACCGTGCAGACCGAAGTAGCACCCAACTGGTCCGCCATTGGCGAGCCTACCGAGATTGCGCTTCACGTCTTCGCCATGCGCTTCGGCAAGGGCAAGGCCGACGTCGTTCAGGGCGACAACAGCAGACTGGTTTCCGAATTCCCCTTTGACTCTTCTGTAAAGATGATGTCTGTTGTTTATGAGGCCTCCAAGGTCCGCAACATCTACACCAAGGGTGCCGTCGAAGTCATGATGGCCCGTCTCAACGAGACCGAGGAGGTCAAGGCTCGCATCGCTGCCAAGGCTGACGAGCTTGCCTCCGAGGGCCTTCGTGTCCTTTGCGTTGGATCCCGACCTCTGTCTGACGATGAAGATGCCACCAAGCGCGAGGAGACGGAGAAGGGCTTTCGCTTCCTCGGCCTCGCCGGTCTCTACGATCCTCCTCGTGTCGAGACTCTCGGCGCTGTCAAGAAATGCAAGACTGC